TCCAAACTGAGTGTTTATAATATCCACGTATTGTTCACGATGTAGAGAACAAAGAGAGAAGTAAAGATGTAAGAAATAAGAGCTGGAATTAGGGTTTTTTACGGAAAGAAAAGGGAATAGAGATTTGGAAAGGGAAATTAAGGGAATTAATGTATGGGAGCATTGAAGTCCAAGTCTTCAAATCTACTTCGAAACTATATATATATATATATATATATATATATATATATATATATATATATATATATAGTGAACATTGAAGTCAAAAATCAGAGGCCATAGGCTGTTTTATGCTGGACGGTCTAACGCTGAAACAGTCTGTCGCCTCTGAGTGTTGACTTCAATGTTCACTTTTATATTTACATACGCTCTATTTCTGATATTGACCACTTTATCCCATAAATATAGCACACCTTAAAACTATATTTCCTCATATATATATATATATATATATATATATATATATATATATATATATATATATATATATATATATATATATATATGGATGGTGAACAGATATGAACAGACTGAGATAGACAAGTAAGCATATACATACATACATACATATATATATATATATATATATATATATATATATATATATATAAATAAATACTTTCATAAAATAAAACATTATTATTTTTTAATTTGAAACTTTTTTTATATATACATATTAAGAAAGTATACGTGGCTTCTCATTATATATATATATATATATATATATATATATATATATATATATATATATATATATATATATATATATAATGTTCACCCAGTAAAAGGCCCTGGGGTGAGCTGCTATCCCATCTTGCGTCCAAGGTAAGGAGCCTCCTTGAGAGAACCCCCATCCATCATGATAGATGGAAGTTCATTGTCTGCACGGTGATGGTGAAACGGTACTAATTTGGTTTTAGATGGATTGAATTTTACAAGTCAGTCTTTCCCCCAATGAGCAACCAGTACTCGGCCAGAGGAGACATCAGCTGCCAGATTCTGGTAATCCAGATATTTTTAGGATCCTCTAAAAATTCTTGTATCATTCGCATGGATAGAGAAAGGAGGGACAGGGATAGATTGGTTAGAAAAAAGAAAGATTAATCGACTGCGATACATAAAAAGATATATCACCTTAAATGTTATTTTTAGTGGATATGCATATCTGAATAAGCGTTTATTTTAAGCAGTGATTTTATTACGTGTGTTTGGTCTAAACATTCCTGAAATCTTATTAAAGAAAATTCACCCTTCGGCTGGAATCGAAACTCCGTCTTTACAGAGAAAGCGTCATTAAGTTTGATATGCGCTAACCTATCGGCTGCGTCATCCATCGTAATAAGGCACGTTTTTTCGTTTAGAATTTCAATCATAACTGTTCATTTTCGCATCTAAAACGTAAACAAAGCAATTTTTAAAGAATTAATTGATTTCCTATGCAACAATCCGACATATTTTATGAGAACTTGTGTTGTAAGTCGGGTGCTTAATCAATTCATCTCTTTTCAGTTTTGATGGATTGATTTTAATTTTTACGGTTTATCAACTCTTTTGCGTTAGATTGTAAGAATAATTCTTTTTTTTTTTTGCTAGAGAATATTGCAAGAATGATTTTTTAGAATAACAACGATTTTTCTAGATTCTTCTACTTTATGTACTATGACTCTCCACAACTTCCTGTTCATTGTAGCTCTTAATAAACTTTCTCATTCTGTTATTTCTCCTAAGCCCTTTCTCGCCATCCATTTACACAAACTCATGATGATATGCATTGTCTTGCACAGTCACTCCTACACTCCATCTGCCCTGTGAGTATCAGATTTTCCAAGCCCTCCTTCCTCATTATATATGCTCCAGAAACCTCAGCTGTCACCTTCTGATTTTATTAGTTTCCTTTTGGTTTCCAATTTCACATAAAACTTCGTTCAGTCCACAGTATCCTCAGTATCCTTCTGTAGAACCGCAATTCTGTTTCTTCGGATGTCCTCTTCATCTCTGAGGAGATCGGCCACAATTCACTGCCATAGACGAGGACAGATATCACGTAGCAGTTTAGTACTCCTTTTCTTGTTTCTAGCGAATTTTTTTCTATTTAATAGTTCTCTGTTTAACTTTTGTAATGCTTCTTTGGCTATCCCAATACGGCTTCGGGTCTCAGCGTCACACTTTCTCTCTTCTGTTAAAACACTTCCTCGATCATGGTTCTCCACATCTTCCTTTTCTTCATAGCTCTTAATAAATTTTGAGTTTTTGTTATTTCTCCTAAACCTTGTTCTACCATCCTATTTACTTACGCGCATTATGTTATACGATGTTTACCTCTGATCCACTTGCCCTCAATCTGTCCTGTGAGTATCAAGTTTTCCAAGCCCTCTTTCCTCATTATCTGCCCTAGAAACCTCAACTGTCTCTTTCTTATATTATGTATAAATTTCTTTTTTGTTTCTATTTCCTCTAAAACTCTCGTTGTTTACATGTTATATCCATGATATCCTCATCATCCTTCTGCAGAAACACACTTCAAGTCTGTTCCTCATCTTTGATGAGATTGTCCAAGAGGACAGGCATCGCGTCGTAGGTTAGTACTCTTTTCCTTGTTTCTAGGGAATTTTTTTCTATTTCTTAGTACTCTGTTTAACTTTTGGGATGCTTCCTTGGCTATCCCAATAAGCCTCCAAGTCTCAGTGTCGCTCTTTCCGTCTCCTGTTAAAAGACTTCACAGATTTTTTTACAAATGCAAATCCTACTAATTAACTCATAGATGACGGGTGGAGATGGATTACTATCTTTCCCAAGGGTATTTGAACGTAAGTTAATGTAATGAACCCGACTGGAACACCAACTCGGCGCTCCGAGGACTCACCATTTCTAGAATGGGAACTAACCAATGGTTGAATAACCCGTTCAGCACTGCTATACTCCAGAGCTGTGATGAGGGAAAAGAGAATGATTCATAATTTTACTCGTGGTGTTTGTACGAAAAGAAAAGAACCCAAACAGAATTTGAGATCGCTGTTTTCTTTTTCTAACAGTTATACGACCCGTAAATCTAAATTACAATCAACCAGGTATATCTTATGCAAAAGAGGAAAAAAATTGAAGTAAAACAGGTATAAAACAGAAAGAAAGTAGAAAGAAAGAAAGAAATAGGATACAG